CCGCCCAGCGGCACTCTGCGTCCCCTCGTCGGCGCCGCTCGTCCTCTCCCGCCTACCACAGGAGCGCAGCGGCCCAGGCCTCGACCTCCTCCCCTCCGAGCTCCCGGCGCTCCCGATCGCCTCCCCCCTCCCACGACGTCTCATCGCCCCACCGGCGATCTGACAGGTCGAGCCCCGGCAGGCGACACTCCAGGGGCCGCGAGAGGAGCCGCGGGGAAAGGGAGAGGAGTCCGCCTGTACAGGAGCGCAGACATGAGCGCAGAGATGGTAACTTTATGTTGTAGTACTGTATTTGTTTTTTTCATTTGACCACATTTAACCCGTTAAATACTACTGCTTGGATTTTGGCGCAACAGCTTACTTTTGCATTATTCCTTTCATCAGTTGAGCTTTGTGTCTCTCTTGTAAACAGACAGCCGCAGCAAGCGAGAGAAGGAAAGCATCCGCGACGACCGGGACTATGACTCTGAACAGGTCTCATCACGGGACACTAGAGAGGACAGGGAGGCAAGAGAGGCCCGCGAGCGACGGGACGCTCGCGATCGAGGAAGGGAACCAACGCGAGACTCTCGCGACCACCGAGACACCAGGGATGTAAAGGACTCCAGAGACAGCAGGACAGAGACCCGCTCCAGCCGAGAGTCGCTGGAGATCCGTGACCGCGAGCGGGAACGAGAGAGGGAGCGGGAGAAAGAGAGGGAGAAGGAGAGAGAGCGGGAAAAGGAGAGAGAGAGGGAGAGGACTGACACCCACAGGAAGGAGGAGCCGGCTCAGGAGGATAGAAGTTACGGGAGAGGTCATGGGCGCGAAGATAGAGCTGAAGGAAGGACGGAGAACAGGACAGACAGAGTTGAGAGGAATGGAAGAGGGAGAGGGCGGGCTAATGAAACATCTGATAAAGGCAAGAACTGACATCACATTCAGGATTCCATAGTTTATTTTATTTGTGGCCTGAACAAAAATAAAAAAAAATTCTCTTTCAAGTAATTTTTCTGCATTTTTTTCCCCCCACAAGGCTCTAACAGGAACTCCCGGGGTTCCCAACTGGAAAGCAGCCATGACAACTGGGAGTCACGGAGCAGTGCAGTGCGTGAACGGAGCGCTGAAAGAAGCACAGATCGCAGCGTTACGGAAAGGAGCTCTGAGAGGGGTTCAGACCGAGACCGCTACGAAGGAGACAGAAGAGGAGAGCCAGCCCGAGACTCCTCCTACGACAGGAGAGGGGGGCATGGAGAGCGGGACCGCAGAGACAACCGAGACAGAGGTGGGGTTGAGGGATTGTTTTATTTGAAATCTTTACAAAATCTGAACCAGAAGCAAAAATACTTAAAACTTCTTAAATTTCTGTTTTCCTAGATCAAAGAGTAGCCTCCCCAAATAGACACCAGGGGAGATCAGAGGAGTCTGAGAGGGAGGAGAGGAGGGATGACCGCAGGACAGATAGAGCAGATGGGAGGCGAGAGGACAGGACCCGTGACCGGGAGAGAGACAGGGAGAGGGAAAGGGAGAGAGAGAAGGAGAAGGACAGGGAGCGAGAGAGGGAGCGGGAGAGGGAAAAGGAGCGAGAGAGGGAGGCCGAGAAGGAGCGGGCCAGGGAGAGAGAGAGGGAAAGGGAGCGTGAAGAGAGGGAGCGGGAGAGGGAGAGGGAAAGGGAGCGCGAAGAGCGGGAGAGGGAGAGGAAGGAGCGAGAAAGGGAGAGGGAGAGAGAGAGGGAGCAGCGGGAGCGAGAGAGGCAGCGGGAATGGGAGGAGCGAGAGAGAGGAAGGGAGGAAAGGCGGGAGAGGAGAGACGACACCAGGGACGAGCGGTCCATTCGAGACACCCGGGACGACCGCAAGACGAGGCATGTATCAGTTTTTATTTCTTTTATTTGTTTTTTAATCTTTGTTTCTAGACATGAGCCCTGTGGAACTCCTCAAGTGTCATATTTATGTAATTTTTTTTTCTCTCCTCTCACTTCAGCCGTAAGAGGAGCAGGGTGGAGAGCAGCCCGAGCCCCCGACCCTCGCCTAAGCGAGCGACACGGGAATTCAGTCCAGCGGACAGCGACGGCTACAACAGTGGAGAAGACAAAAGTGAGCGCCCAATTGGCCGAGGGCAGGCTAAGCTCCACCCACAGCCCCTCCTCCCCAGCCCAGTGTGTCCGCCTCCATCTGACAGTAGGGAAAATCTTTTTCAAAGGATGATGATGTCTTTTGGTTGTATGCATTCCAGTACTGGCTGTCCAACGTATTGCTAATAGCAATATCAAAGTGAACAAAAATGTGCTAAAATCAGTCTCTCAAAGTAAGTTATTGCCAGTTTAAATTTCAACATTTTTACCTTTTTAGCAGCACTGTGTGTGGAGGACACCCCAGTTTTAAGGATTCGTTTTTCTTTAATTGATCTACAAGACTAGCTTAGTCTTAAAGGAAAGGACATTTATATCATAAGGCAATAATTATGTCAAATTCCTCCAATGAAAAGCCTAAAGTGGTATTCTAGGAATGGCACAGAGTCTGGTCTGCTCTCATTTTACTGATTGCTTTATTTATTTAAAAGTACTGAGTGTGGTTATGTGACCGTTCCGTGTGCATGTGCAGGTAGCGACAAGCATCGTCTGCTGAGCCAGGTGGTGCGGCCTCAGGAGCCCTTGCTGCGTTCTCCGCCGAGAGCCGCTCCATCCGACGACAAGCCTAGTCACTGGAAGGATGAGGAGCGCAGAGGAGCCGGGGATAAAAGGGAAGCACGCAGCCGCCTCGAGGACCTGGAGCCTCGTGGGGAACGAGTCAGGGGAGGCGACAGACGAGGAGAGCACCTTGCAGACCCCCCGACTGACACCCGTAGAGGCAGAGACCAGCGAGAATCCACGCCGCCGCCTCCACCTCCTCCAGCCCTCGCCGCTGTCAGCGACGACAGAGACACAGCTGGCTCCCAGTCACACGAGGAAGGCAAAAAGAAGACAAAGTCGCAGAGGAAGGGCTCGAAGAAGGGTCGCAAAGAAGAGGAGATTGCTGCCACCAGCAGTCTGGCTGGTGCAGGAGATCGTTTCAACCCTGAGCCCCCAGCTGGCGTTTCCACAGATGCACCGCCACCTTTACTCTCCCCCAGGAAAGGAGCCAAAAAGAAGGCACTTGAGCGAAAGAGGAAACGGTCACGGGGAGGAGAATCCGATGTGTCCGATGAGGACTCATCAGCCCATCAGCCACACACTAAGAAGAAAAGAGGTCCACGGACTCCACCGCCCTCGATGAGGCCCGATCACCGCGGCACTGGAGGCAACACTGAGCCGTCTCCACTGTCTAAAATGGACAACTTCAGTGACTGGTCAGATGAGGAGGTCACAGACCGAGCAGGAGGGCCTCTGGAAACACAAGCTCCCCTGGCTCCTGCCGAGAGGGCTCCTGCCGAGCCTCTTAGGAGAGGTGCTCCCAGGGTGGGCAGGGACAGGGAGCGGTGCAACCCCCCTTCCATTGCCCCACTGATCCCCCAGGATCCTCCGATACTGCTGCAGACTCTGACCCCGCAGCCCCTCATGTCCCAGCAGCTGCTCCGCAAACCGCCCCCAGAGCAGACACGCAGCAGCAGCATGGGAAGCAACCAGAGCCGCACGTCATCCAGGCGCCTGCGATCACCCTCCAACGAGTCCGCCCACAGAGAAGATCCCCAAGGTCCACGATCCCGCCGGGGCCGACTGCAGGGCACCAACTCTCGGGACCGAGAAAGAGAGCGGGAGAGGGAGAGAGAGCGGGAGAGAGAGCGGGAGAGAGACAGGCCGGTTGTGAATGAGCCTCCAGGAGCCGAGAGGAAGTCTCGAATTGACCAGCTGAGGAGAGGAGAGCCCAGCCGCAGCACCTCCTCAGGTAGATGAACACTTTTTAAAAACTCTACTTCGAGGATCATGTTTAATTAAAACATCTCACTCTAACATGTCTCTGTTGTCTTACAGACCGACAAGATTCACGCAGCCACAGCTCCAGACGCAGCTCCCCTGACTCTGAGAGGCAGGCCAGGTCCCGAGCCGGCTCCTACGACAGCCGAGAGCGGGAGAGAGAGAGGGAGCCATTTGAGCGGGAGCGAGACCGAAAGGACCTCCGGCCGCCGCCGCAGCAGCAACAGCAGCAGCAGCCGCTGCTTCTCCAGCAGCCCCTACCACAACAGAGAGACTGGGAGCCCGAACCCAGGGACTGGCCCAACAGGGGGGGACGGGAGCCCCTACTGATGCGTCCTGGCCGCGAACCTCTCTTGAGGGAGCGGGACATCAGGGACAGGGAACGCTTACTCCCCGAAGGACTCATCCAGCAGCACGAACGGGAGCGGGAGAGGGAGCGAGAGAGGGAGAGGGAGCGGGACAGGGACGGCCGAGGCGGCGATCGAGAGAGGGAGAGGATGATGATGATGGACCTGCTTCCCCACGGTGACCCCAGGGCTCCAGGGCGAGGGGACCTGAGGGGTGAAATCAGGGGAGACCTACGAGGGGACATGATGAGACAGGACAGGAGTGAATATGAACCTCTGCTGCCAAGAGAAGCTTTCAGCCCTCCAGAGCCGGAGAAACCGAGCAACAGTCACCACCTGATGGGAGAGCAACGGGAGCTGGAGAAGACAGACAGCATCGACGGTAAGAAAACGAACACATTTGCATTTTTATGTGACTCGTTTTTTTAGCATCATGGATTGAAAGGAATCTGTCCGTTGTTCTCAGGGGACGATGACGGGAAAGAAGACGACGGGCAGTCGGTCGCGTCTGTTGGAGAAGAGTATGAACCGATCAGTGATGATGAGCTGGATGAAATTCTGGCGGACAGCCAGAAAAAAGTTGACCAGCAAGACGATGAGAAAATTACAGGTACCAGGAAATACCTTTTTTATGGAGATTATTCACATGGAAATGTTATGTAAATGAATTCTCTTATGCCTACTTTTAATTTGAAAAATTAAGTTTACTTTTGCCTAAGGGATTGATTGGTTAATAATGTTACACTCCTCAGATGTTCCTTTTTAAAATGAACAACTCAATGTGCTGACAGGTCCTCTGGATGTGATTGACGTGGACTGGTCCAGCCTGATGCCCAAACAGAAGCAGGAACCCCGGGCAGCACGGGCAGCGCTGCTCCGGTTCACCCCAGGGGCTGTGCTTCTCCGGGCCGGCATCTCCAAGCGACTTGCTGGGCCCGAGCTCATGGAGCAAGTCAAAGAGGTGTGCAAGTCTGAGCTGGACGACCCCAAAGGTGAGAGCTTTGACATCATGAAACCCCGAAACGAATCCTGATTACATTGTTTAAATTATAACCATTTAAATCAGTTTACAGTGGTGATTAGGACAGTGGGTGTTGTGGTGGAGTTTGTGTTCTTTATCTAGAATTCTGTTTAGTTCATTTGAGTTTTTTTTTAATGATCCATTCTTCTAAAACTGTCAACTCTGGTCTTGCAGATGCTGAGAAGCTGTTTGAACATGAACTGGGGGCCCTGAATATGGCAGCCTTGAACAGGCGGGTAGAGAGGGCAGGTTTACTGACCAACCTTGGGCCCTGCTGCAAGGCCCTGTGTGCCCGCAGGGACTTCGCCATCCGCCGGCAGCTGCTGAAAAACGACAAGGTACATCCAATCACTGACAGGACAATGAATTAAATACTGCAGTTACTGTGTCCATCCTAGCTATATTCTCACCAGGGCATTATTTAAATATTGCGAGATGTGTTTAAATCTACTTCTCCTTCTTCAGGGCCTAACTAAGCAGTACCTCACCACGCCTGTAGTAGACAGCGATCTGCTTCAGATGAGCATGCGTCTCTTCAGAAGGACAATGGCCGGCCAGGCCTCGGGCCCGGAAAGGTCAGACGGTGGGTCAGCAGCAGCAGCCGAGGTCGCTGCAGCTGGGAGTAGTAAGCTCAGCACAGCGCAGCCTGAGGTGTGTGTGTCCTGAAAGAATTGGGGCTTACTTGAGTCAAACACATGAAAGTGAACGCTTCTAAGCCTTTACTACTTACTTTCCCCTGACTCTGTCCGATTTCATTACAATACCTAGCCTTTTTAGTCATGAGAGGGAATAAAGAAAAACAAGCAAAAGTGTGAATCTTACTCAGTTACGCTTTACATGTTTTGGATGATATGCAAGTGCTGTGCCATAGACTACTGGACATTCTAGGCTATGGAGGTGTGTGATGAACCATGTACCAGAAACATAAAACACACCTGAAATGACTTCATGTTTTTTTTTTTTTTTTTTTGTGCATTAGTGTTTTAGAGCAGCTTTTTAATTGTCAGTTTCACCTGCCTAACCAAGTTCACATGACTGTTTTGTTTTCATATATTGTGCATTTGGTTACTACAACTGTGCATTAAAATGGTTAGATGTTGATTTTTGTAACGGGTCTTTTGCTTTGTATGAAGTGACTGTTCAGCCTTCAGATAATGTGACACTTGATGTTATTCCCATTTTGTTTACACCATATTACAAAATATCTGCAGAGCAAATCGATAACATTTGCTGCAGAGGGTTACTGAGCAACAACACTGAAACATCCTGCAGGGACTTGAATGTTTCTCATGAGTAAGCACTGCCAAACTATTCCTTCATTGAATGTAATTTGTTATAACACAATTGCTGTTTGCTTGATGTATTTGTTTTGAATGGTTTGGCAATGTCTCCCTGAAATGAAATGAACTGAAGTGAGCGCACACTATAGACTGCAGAGTACCAGATCTCCAACACTGCCATGTGGAAGTCCTCTACTTAACGTTCACCAGCCCACACCATCCAAAAAGGAGCCAAAAACGTTCCTGATAGGAAAAGACACTAGACTGCTTAGATTAAAAAAAAAATGACTGAAAAGATAATTAAACTCAGCTCCACATCACGTTTCTGTGTTCCAGAGGTTGACCAGCCAGAGTCACAATAAAAAAAGACTTGTACAGGTGGATAAACTGAACCTCTGGGATGTGGTTGTATCAACACTCTTTAGTTCAACAAGTGACACTTGAAAAGAGCAGGTTGTGCATGCTGCGAGTGCTCGGACACAAATTCAATGGACAAACTCAACTTCAGTGTTGCACTGAACAGCTTAAAGAACATAATAATGGAAAATGGCTGTTATCTTAGAGGCCTGGATTCAACATGACACCTCCTCCCGGCCATGCAACTGTGACTTGAGTGACATTACAGAAAAGGAGAGATTGGGTTCTGATGTAGCCCGCTATCTTTTAGTCTGACTACAACTCTATGTTGTTGGAAAACACTTTTTCCTACTTCATATTTATTTTGTCTAAGGTGCAAGGTCAATTTTGAGATGTGTAAGGAATGATATTTGGTTTAACGCTGTATTTTTTTACTGTAAAATAAATGTAGAATGACATTCTTTTTAATTGTAATGAGAACTGTGGACCTGAAGGAATTTTAAATGTAGTGCTAGTTTTTATCAAGATTGTCACATTGAATGACTATAACAAAAGCTATGAGGACGGCCATGAGATGCAAACTTTTGCATTTTGAGGTAAGTGCTGAATTTGACGTATAACCACAGCCACTTTAGGGTTGTGTTACCTTTTTATAATTTAGTCTTTTATTAAGAATTCTTACGATCCTTGTGGAGGATCTAGCTACATTTCTTCCAGGAAGTCTTCATTTCTTATTGAGGAAATACATTTTTTTTTAAAATCATTTATGCAATGGTGTAAAAATGACAGCTTTCTTCTACATAAAAGACAAATAAAGCTGTCTGATAGCTGGTCAAAGACATCTCATAAACCTAATACAATAAAAGATCTGATGAAATGTCTCTTACATTCTGTTTTAAACTGATTCAAAACCTTGTACAATCAATGAATATTTTTTTCGTGTGGGTCATTCAGCTGCAATGGCCTGTAAAACATAATACACATCCATTCTTGTTCAAGAGAAAGACGAATAATTACTGCACACCACAAACTACACACGTTCCTAAACATAATAAACTTGCATTATAATTCATCTCACTGTCTTCATTACCTCTAAATCTTTACATTTTTGAACATTAAATGGACAGTTTGTACAAAGTCAATACAAATGTTAAATGTCGATGTGTTGAGATCATAGACGGTATAAATAAAGTGTTCAACGAGGCGAGGCGACAACAGAAGGAACCTTTAATCGTTTGTTGTTGACGAACATCAAAACAAAACGGACCGGTTTCCTTCACCCACAATCCTTTGCCTTAAGTCCGTCCTTCCGACTTCCGCCTCAACTACGAGCCGAGGTGAGTATTTCTTTCGGAAATTATATTCCTTCAATCTAACGCCATCCTGCGACATTAAAGCCAGAATTAACCACGCACTCGGTATAAATGTACACATAAGTGTTCCATTATGTTTTATATGAGGTTTTTGGTGTGATTGAACGTCTTTAAAGACACTTAATAGCGACGGACGGTAGCATTGACGACCGGAGTGGCTTCACGTAGCCTGGCTGTGTCAGTGCTCACTTTTTTTTTTTGTACTGTAACACAGCTTATAACCTCAAACATTGGCCTTTTTTCTGAGTTGCTGTACTTTAACATCAGTGCTATTTATCTTCCTATATAGCCTGCATGGTAGTTTGTGTTAAACAACGTTACAGCGAGCCGGCTTTATGTTAACATTAGGCTTTTCAGACGCGCCGCGTTAAAGTCTGCAAAAAAAACCCCAGTTTCTCTTTCAAATAGCTTGTGTTTAATGTTAACACTTTACAAAGCAGTAACGTTACCGTGCGTTTGTTGTTTCTAGATGGCCCCAACCAAGAAAGGAGAGAAAAAGAAGGGGCGTTCAGCCATCAACGAGGTGGTGACCAGAGAGTACACCATCAATGTCCACAAGCGCATCCACGGAGTGTGAGTACTGATACTGATTCACATTCATAACCAGTTACATGAGCTGCTTTTTTCACTTAATTTAATCCAAAACCACTTTTATTAGGTTACACGGCTCCTGCTTTGTGCATGAATATGGTAGTAATGTTAATTGTCAGTGTTTTCAGTGCTGCGAGTACAAGTTCTGTCACTGCCATTTAATGTGGGTTCATCGATGATTCACTCAGTTTAAGGCACATGCCCGTCACATTTCACGGGAGTCCGAGCAGCGTCTTAAAATCATTTACCCAGAGCGCTCAGACAATGAAATAACAAACAATAGCTTTTATTTGTACAAAACTGACACCAGCAAGCGTAGGACGGTTTGATAAGTGACGCAACAAATGACCAGTATTGGAGTCGATTAATTCCACGTGAGTAATGGCGTCGTCTCCTTGCAGGGGCTTCAAGAGGAGGGCCCCACGTGCCATCAAGGAGATCCGCAAGTTTGCCGTGAAGGAGATGGGAACTCCTGATGTCCGCATTGACACTCGCCTCAACAAGGCAGTGTGGAGCAAGGGTGTCAGGTGAGGTGATACTCTTGTGACTTGTGTGTGTGAGCAAAGTGCAATGCCATCAGGACCTGAGCGACCTGTGGTAGACACATTTGTGTTTTAATCAAACCAGAGTAATGTGTAAACCTACACTCATACTGTGATGGTCTACTTAGGGTTTCTTTATAATATAATATTTAATATATCACCAGCAGTCATCTAAGTGTTAATCCATACTTTTTGTTCAACATGTAAGCCACAGGGTTAAATGTGCAACTCTGGTTAAGAACTGTGAGAAACAAACCAATTACAACAGTATGCTCAGAGTGAATGTCGTTGTAGTGCTAAATGTTTCGTTTTGATGGACTATTTTTCCCCAGATAGTGGCAAGTCTTTTTCTCCCAGAAATAATCAGGATATGAAAATATTAAACTCGCCCCGCCCTACGGTCAGCTCAGACATAAAGAGCCTACTGTATGCACAATACTGAGAAATCAAAGTGGTTGATGATTCCAGGACGGATCTATAAAACTTCTGTGCTCATGGTTGAAGGACTTGGTGACAGATCGTTTATTCTGAGTGAGGTGTTGGTCACTTTCAAGACGAAAAAAGTCAGCGAGATATGAGGGAAAAACGTTTGCATTAACTGCATTTCCTGTTAGCAGCACTTTACGCTGAAAATGCGATACAATTGTCAGCTTCTCTAAGAACATGGGTTTTTGGCTCACTAAGGATGGGGGGGGGTTCTGTACACAAAGTGGGGCAGCATGTGGACAGTCTATGGCACACTGCTGTGATTAGCCCCAATGTGTTGACAATTTTGACACCCGAACCCCAACGTGAAGAGGAAGTTGGTGCCGTTTAGATATTACGGGCCCAATGTACAGTTTTGGCGACATATCAGTGAAGATGCTAACCGTCACATCGTTTGTGTCGTGCAGGAACGTGCCGTACAGGATACGCGTACGGCTGTCCAGGAAGCGCAATGAGGACGAGGACTCTCCCAACAAACTGTACACCCTGGTCACATACGTTCCTGTCACCACATGCAAAGGTAAATATGCAGCAAACTGACTTTGATGTCATTCATCTAGTGAAGCAATAAAGACAATTCATTCATTTTCTTCCCCTCTCTCTTTCTCCAACAGGTCTGCAGACGGTCAATGTTGATGAAAACTAAATTTGTCCCCTCTGCGAGTGGAATAAATGAAAAATAAAAAAAAACCTCGTCTTGTGTCTTTGTTTCTGCACTCTAAATGTCTTATTTGGGATGTTTCTTGAATTTGGATTAATGGTTATTGCAGAAGAACGTACTGAAATACTGTCCTCAGCAGTGATATTAACCCTTAAACATTGCTTATAAATGTCAACTTTACCCACTACACTGGAAACAGAACTGGTTTGTAAAGACATGCTGATTTAGAAGACTAATTTGACTGCTCCTCCCTTTGCACAGTGAAGAGTGTTGGT